CCATCCCCCTCGCAAGCACGAACCCCTCCCCCGCACTGAAATGGGCTCAACGGAAGCGGAAGGTGGTTCTTCAAGAGACAGAGGCCAAATTTCAAGGCATTTAGAAGAGGAAATGATGAGAAGATAAGCTTATTTTCTATTTAAACATAAAAACAACATTTTAATAACAGCTAAAGGTGACATAGATATTTATTGTGGTATAGTATTTAAATATATGCCTGAGAAACACATAAAATTGCCCCTTTAAAAATATATGACTTAGTGGTTCTTTTTTTGGTTTAAAGGTATAAGCCCTTTACTTACATGGTTGTGTGATTCTTTACCTCCACGTTTTTTGAGTGTGTGTAAATTCCACTCACAAGGTAAGATCGTCCTTAACCGAATCCAGACACGTGAAGAATCCCAGCTTGTTCTGTAGTGGAGAGTGTGCCAGTAAATAGCTGGGTATTTCACAGCTATTATCAGAAGCCAATGTGTCTTGTATGCATCCTGTCCCCACACCAGTTGCAGTCAAGGCTTTTGCCCCCGTTTATGGTGGTCTTTGCCATTAAAAGGAAGGTGGTCCTTTGAACTTGCTTTAGCTTGAGAAGAGGTTGCCGGCTTTAGAAAAGGCGGGGTTGTGCCTGGTAAGATCTTTTCCATCTGTTCATCTCCACAGCATGTTTTCTCACTGTGGTCTGCCAGGTTTTGAGGCGGTCGGTGTGCATGCTCTTCTTGCAATGCAGCAGCCCAGGCGTGAGTATACCTTCCATTCAGATAGCCCCGGGTCTGATGTGGAGGTATGAGCGCTGTAATCAGATTTAAAACTCAAGACGCCTTAGTCCCTGAACACTTAAAGGCCACCTTAAGCCAATTTACCTGTCATTGTGGCTCAGGACAGCCAATTTATTTCAAGACATGATGCTGAGCAATGCTAATACAGGGCCCAGGTTTCTTTTCTGAGTGTAAATGGCTCTATGGCTCACCGGAGATGCTATATATATTAACCCATGGTATTGCTGCTAAGAGGACTGGATGTGTGATGTCCTYGCTAACTGAACAACTACACACAGTAGCCATGAGGTACTTGTCGCAACCACCATTTGTAATTACACTACCTCCTCCATCATCCAAACTTCATTACCTTTATGTCGTACCAAAAAATCTCATAATTGCCCAGGAGTGTGGAAATGGAAGGTGAATGAATTATTACTGTGCCTTGCTGCTTTGGACTGTCTGGCACCATAGGACTGCAAGTAGAACCACAACAATTAAATATTATAGAGGCTCTTTCCTGTCTTACAAGTGTCTCCAGGAATGAAGATTTACATTGATCCGTTCACATATGAGGACCCAAATGAGGCTGTGAGGGAGTTTGCCAAGGAGATTGATATATCCTGCGTGAAGATTGAACAGGTCATCGGTGCAGGTAATGGAAAAAATCTGACTTAAACCTGGATGGGACAGCATATTAACAACTGAGTTTAAGCAGAAACAGATGCAGGGTTTTGGCACATTGTTTAGAGTGAATATAACTGGGTTTGTTTGTTTTTTTTTCTATTTCTCCTCCTAATAGGAGAGTTTGGAGAAGTGTGCAGTGGTAATCTAAAGCTTCCGGGCAAAAGAGAGATGTTTGTAGCCATAAAAACTCTGAAGTCCGGCTACACAGAAAAGCAGAGGCGGGACTTCCTGAGCGAGGCCAGCATCATGGGCCAGTTTGACCATCCTAACGTCATTCATCTGGAAGGCGTGGTCACCAAGAGCAGTCCTGTAATGATCATCACCGAATTCATGGAGAATGGATCTCTTGACACGTTTCTCCGAGTAAGAACCCTGATATTATTGCATGACAAAAAATAACAAACTTTCTTTTTTCAGATTAAACTGATTTGCCATTCAATAAGAAATGYTTAAATTACTATACAGTAAAATAGACATTTTGACATTACTTTTACAACTAACAGTTTTACTGTTGTCTGTATGTTAATACTGCCACTCTGGGTTATGTTTTGTCCAAGCTAACAATAAAACAGCTGAGGCTTACAGTGTGTTTTGTGCTAACAACAATGTTGCCTTCACAAACTGACAGTACACGCTGCTTTGAAGCTTAGAAGTCTCCATTCAGAGCTTTTGCTTTGACAAGCCTAAAAATTGATATGGTGATCTCAGCATAATAAGTTTATCATGACTCTGTCTAAAATTGTTTACTTTATTAGACAGCCACTGAGGTACCTGCTAACTATCTGCCAAAAAAAAATGACAAGAAGCAATCACTSCAGCTACGCAAACAGCATATTATTRTCTAGAAAGCGTGCCAAGAGTTATTTATTTTTTCGTTGCTCTTTTGACAACACAGAGAAGGAAAATTAATTAACAACTGCTGGGGATAAATTTACTGCCAGCCGTTATGGAAAAAATGAAGTTAAGTTCCTTCAAAATTTCTCCTCTCAATGAATAAAAAAAGAGAAGGAATTAAAAAGCTTTAAAGTTGCTTTTAAAATGGCAGCTATTGCAGCTTGCGAGGAACATACTTCTAATTTATATTTTTATAAATAAAACAAGACAAAACATGAAACAAAAAAAATGCAATGATGCTTATAGTTACTTCTTGAACATTTTAAACATGTTTACTTCATCTTAATTTAACTATGCATGTCAGTTAAAGAAAATGTTTGTTCACTTTCAAAACAGGTATTTTATTCAGTTCTGTGCAGTAAGTTTAACGTAGCAATTTTAAAATGCTACTCACAGACAAACGTATCAGATAGAATGCAGAATTTTTTCATTTTGATAATTTTATTTATTTATTAATTAATTAATTATTTTTTTTATTTGCTTTGTCACTCTGCATCCCACTGCTTTTTATTTGACATGCTTATAAATTCCATATTTATCTATTTTTTTTCTACTTCGATAATACAGCGCTCATGAGTTCACTGGATTTTTAGTCCTCATAATTTTGCCAGCAAGGAAAATTACAAAGTACAGTCCAAAGTACATTTATGACCCAAATTAATAATTCAAAACACTTTTCAAGACATAAAATGAGATGTCATGTTTAAAAATGAATCTGCCCGAGTGATGAGATGTTATACAAGTCCACCATCATTTGTGCAGTAATAGTGAAATAAAAACAAGTATTTTGATGTGTTTATTAAAAAAAATAAGATTTCCCCTGCTCTAATTGCTGCTTCTGCCTTTTTAGGAAGAGCAAAAAATATGTCTGATTAATGGAAACTGAAGACGTATGATCTTTTTCCAAAACATAGTTATTTTTACATGCAACCTAAATTATGAAAAAGGAGCTCTCTATTTAATGTGACAGACATTAAGCATGGGGGTGTTAAGCGAGTACTGTAAAAGTGGCATATCATAATTTAAGTCGTCTTCTTTTTAAGTTAAGAGACTAAATAAAAACTGAGTGTCATTTGATTTTGTCATAGGGATTTGAATTTGTGTGACCACTTCTTTGTGAAATTGTAAAACATTAAATAAAAATAGAGCTAATATTGGAGAAGTAGAAACACATCCCTCTAGAGTGGGTTAAAATGGCTTACAGCTTGTTTTTTTATTTTTATTTTTTACCAAAATATAAATGTTCCATGTGGTAAAAACAATGGTTTAAATTAGGGATGCAMCAATATGAAAAAATTCAGCCAATATTGATATCCAATATTAATATTGCTGTTATGGCTGATAACCAATTTTTGCAGATATTACACAAATACACAAACTATTTATGTATAGGTACGCACAAACACACTTGTGTCTTTTTTCGATACCGTAAAGAAACGACCAAAGTGCTGTCATGGCTCTCTTCATCAGTTATTCCTGTTGCTGTGATGCTGCGCAGCATCAATATCACTATCATTATCAAACAGTCACCACTTGATAAACCATTTGTCCTCCTGAAACAGAAACACAAATGACAAGTGGGAAATTAATATCGGACATTAATATTTTTACTTATTGGGCCGATACTGATGTTAATGCCGATATATYGTGCATTCCTAGTTTAACTTCCAAAAGCAACAGGCAGGAATCAAACATCTGTGAAAGACACAATGACTAATTCCTACACTTTTGCAAAAACAAAGTTTAGTGATTTAAAAAAACATGGTTAAACTAAACTAGGATGTTTTGTTTGCACAATGACACTGATGTGTAGATCCATGGTATATTTACAGTAACCACAAATACAAATACAGTATAAACCACACGTTTCATGACCTTGTTACTACATTTTAAACGGTGTAAAAAGTAAGCTTCCTGAAAGCAGTCCACACGCCTTTAATTGATTCCCACCAGTATACCTTCCCCAGCTAGCGTTAGCTTCCTCCACGACTACATCAAAGACTTCCTGGAGAAGCTGACATAAAACCTCCTGTCAGTGCACTGCTGAGGCTGGGTTCACAGCCTTCATTTGCATTCTGCCTCTGACCTCGAAGACGCAAAACATCAGCTCTTTTTGGAATTTGATCTTGTTTGTGCACGCGGAGATCCGCTGAGCATATTTGACAGCAAATTGTTCTTTTGAAAACAGCAGTGAGCCTTTGTAAATCGTAACTGTGGCAGTTACACCACAGCTGCTGACAGAGTCAAAGCTTCTGAGCACAGTTTGTGTCACAATTTGACTCGGTTGTTGGTTGGTTGTTTATAATGGTCACTGCGGTCTTTACTGAGCTGCCTGCTGAAGTCGTGGTGTCACAAATGAAGAAAATAGTGCTGGGTGCATAATATTTGGAGATTAGAAATTAAACATGATGAACACTGTATGGGCTATGGCATGCTCACATTAGATTTTTACTTACAGTCAAACTTGACCTGAGGAATTTGTTTAAATAAATTGCAAACATGGGGCTTAAATCAAGCGCCAGTGTATTCTTGTCAAATGTTTTTTTTTCTTTATGAATATTACATTTTGTTTAATTGCCGTGGTACACAAGGATGAGCAGCTTGGTATGAGGAGAGGCATCCTCTCGACTAATGAGCAGCAGAGCGTTTGAGACAGAAACAGGTTGGAGGAATTTGGCTGGGCTTTCTCCACTGCTTTCCTCGTTTCCCCTATTAGTCTTAATGTCTGTCCACACTGGGCCTCATGCTCTCATGCTCCATTCTTGGTAATCTCCTGTTTGCCTGATGTCGTGGTGGGTGGTGGGGAGAGTGCAGGTGTGCCCAGTTGGAGGCACAGCTGCACCACAGCTCCAGACACTAGCCGAGCATGGGGTAAAGCCTTCACCAAAACGGAAAGAGGAACAGCTGTACGCAGACAGCCAGACCCAGCTTAGTCCTGCCTGGTCCCACTGAGGCCAGCTGGGCTCAAACAAAACCTGTTGGTGTCCAGCAGGGTTTTCTCTTTCTGTTCTTTTTGTAAACCAATACTTTACCATAGCTTTACTACTGGTTTCATATAAGTAATTTAGTTTCAAACTAAATGTTTTACTAAAGGCTGGCATTTGGATTTTAAGTTATAATTTCATTAAATTTCAATACAAAAGAAAACCTTCAAACTTGAAACAACTCTAACGTTAAAACATTGCAATCCATTTGATTTAGATCAATAAATATGATCTTAGTCCCTGTTTTTGCATCTTAATTTTGATGTGGTTCACTAAAAAACATTCAGAAAAAAAAWGTTCAATCAGAAAACAGTGTTAAGCTGTTGCAGAGTTTGTATTATTAAACAAGACAACCTGGCTAACAATCTAAAACAGCCAACATATGGCAGACAGTTTTGGTACTCATGGACCACCCCCGATGGGAATCAAGCTTTTGACCTTGTTAAAACGTCCATATGGTGTTTTTATGTGCTAGTATGCATATCAGGAGTAAAATAAGCTCCTACCACCATGCCTCTGTGAATCTGCATTTGAACTGCAGTTACCAGCAATCCTCTCAAATAGGTAGATTCAAACAATAAAAGTTTTTTGCTTAATGCAGATAAATAAATAATTCTGGGTGGAACTTGTCTTATAAATACTGAAACCCCATTATTAATAGTTTTTTTTCAGTCTAGCCTAAAATGTCAAGAGGTTAGCCTAAAATGTCAAGAGCCATGCATGTGCTGGAGGTCGTATGGATGAGGATTAGGACCACAGAACATTTTATTTTATTTATTTTTTATTTATTTCCAGAGTTCTGTCTATATTATCAGAATTCTGAGGAAAAAAAGTCAGAATTCTGCTGTTAAATTGAAACATGTATCTAAATGCTATTGTGATCAATTCTAATATGTTTTTAAAGGATCACACCAGAGTTGTAAAGTAAGTAAGTACAAATACTTTGTTTCTGTACTTAAGTAGAATTTTTGGGTGTCTGTACTTTACTTGAGTTATTTTCAGCATACTTTTTACTTTTACTCATTACATTTTTACACAATTATCTGTACTTATACTCACTACATTTTTTAAAAAAGGTAAGAA